AGTCAAGTTACCAGATGCATTTAATCCACAAGACTGCTTCTAGTTTAGTTTGTTTATTTCAGAGATATAGTCATTACTGTAACTACATGTGTTACATGTGTTACAGTAACGCTGTTCCCACATGTGCAGCTGCGCTCAGGAATCTCATGTATAAATGTATGTGTAGATTATCCGTGTCATACAATAATATAATAGCAATTTTAGTAAACCCTGTTTTTAGTACAGTGAGATTTTTCTCAAGATTGTGGAAACATTGGCGTCATCATTTAATTGTGGCTCAGTGACTGTCATGTTTCTTTTTGTTTTCTTTTTCTTTTGTTTTACTATGGACCTCTTTTGTGTCTGAAATAAAGATTGATTGATTGATTGATTGATAGTGTTTCCATCCATGGCAGGTAAATGTTGTGTCCTGTATATTTCCATTTTCCATTTTTTCAGTGTGTTGCAGCCATACCTTTCTGTGGGGTTTGTTGTAACTGCGTAGGTTATTCTGTGTCGTAATTATTTTTAATGCTGAAATATACGCTCTTTCCTCGGTTCCTACACTGAGTCAAATCCTGGTTATTGCAGCTATTATATTCAGGAAAAGGTACACATTTTTAAAGGGATATGACTGAAGCAGACAGTTTGTGTTTGTCAGATGACAGGAAGAGAGAGACGTGGGAGTTAAAACCCAAAGTTTTAACCCTGCATTTTATGATCATTTTATACTGTAAAACTGTATTAATGTTGCATCAAATTCATAAGAAATTTGAACACTTTAATTTAAGACCTGCCTTTTATGTATGTACCCCTCCAGTCTGTCCTGGTTGTTTGTCCATAAAGGTGAAGGTTCATGATGGAGAACAATCTGTTGTGCTGCCCTGCCAGAACAGATTATCATTAGAAAACATCTGTACTGTGAAATGGAGCTTGAAAAGAAATGTTCATTTAAAAACAAAAAAAAATATTAAACTTGTTTATTACCTTTTGAAATAGGATTTAATTTGATGGAATTAAATCCATTGATTTAATTGAATTATCAATTAAATCAATGGATTTAATTGATAATATAAATCTGCAAAAACTGTCTAAAAATTGCCTTGAGACATATTTTAAACCAACGCTATATAGTTGAATAGAGTTCTTGAAATGCAACAATTTGGACAAAACATATTTTTTGGATGTTTTACCTTCATTTCAACATACTTAATGAAAACATATCAAAATTTTGTTTTTGCATATTAAAATTAAAAACTCTTCTAAAAGATAATTTCAAAATATTCAAACAAATCAAGTTTTATTTTTTTTAAAGTAATTATGTTTTTTTTTCAGAATAGAATAAAGTGTCTTTATTTAACATCCATATTTAAAATCTTTAACTGTTCTTTACATTTTTCCACAGAAATGTTTCCAATCTGGGCCAGAATTATTCTTGTTTCTGTGGGTCTTTTGTTTCATTCCTGACAATATTTCATGTCAGGTAAGTCTCTTTTACATCGATATCAATCCTAATGTTTAACATGTTGAGGTTTTTTCAGAGAAATTGTGACCATTTAATTTGGGTTTTATATGACTGAATAACACAAAGTAGTGCATAATAGTCAAGGTCAATAAAATTGATTCTTTTCTACATTGCAAATAGGAACATTATGTTTTCATGTATTCATATTCTGCCCCATTGAGTCAACATTTTGCTAAAAGATACATTCCCCTAAACCTATGGCCTTTAGGATATGTCTCCAGACCAACTGAAATGTTTCATCTTTTAAACAGAATAAAAGTTCAGTCACTTTTGTACACATTTATTCTTTTGCTTGTTATCTGACATCAGTGAGGTAACAGCCCTCCAAGTGACGTCTGCACATTCCAAGGAAGTGCTAAACAGCTCCAAACATGGTGACATGTGAGAAAGAAGACAGATTTAGCTACATGTATGCAGACTGTTGAAAACTGCAGAATGTTAGGCAGTTCCCTTTACATTGGACCTACTCATCAGTTAACACACTCAAACCTCAGAAGAAAAATTAGAAAACACTCGGATACTCAATATAACCAATAACAAAGGATTTAATATAAATTTCCTACCATATTTCCCTCCAGGACTGTCCTTTATTAAACTCAGTTAATTTTTCCATTACCTCTAACTAAGCAGCTTTTCACTGCTGGTGAAAAGTCTTTATTTATTTTTCTACCTTTGTCTCCTCTTCTGTCTGCTTCAGACTATTTTTCTAGACTTTTGAAATTATATTCCTGCTACTGAAGTCTAATGTTACACAAATTGAAAATTGGAAATTAGTAATAAAATAAAAGAAAACATTAAAAGATCTATATATTTTATATGCCTGAATTTATTTGAAAATAAAGTTTCCAGTAGGAAATCCTAAATAAAATTTGAATAATTTAAATTCTAAAATCACAAATATTCCTTAGAATTACTTTTTGTTTCCTTTAGTACCAACATTTTCTATAGTGTTAGAGCAGCTGAATGATTTTATTTGTAAGGCTAAGAAATACAACAAATTAATGATGTGCTGCAGAACACAACCATCGAACGAAAGACTGAGGAAATAATGGCTAATGACCAAAACAACTTGAATGTGAGACTTTTCTATAGCAAAGATCATTTTAAGCCACCTGGTAAGGTTGATGAAGTTTAATAAAAGCACAAATTCTGTTAAATTCCTACATCCAGAGTTGTGATGAGTTTCTGACTATGCTGCTGAATATTCCTGCCATCTCCTTTCATCCACTAAATATCAATCCAACTCACATTACAGGATGATGATATGATTCGCCAACAGTTTTTCAGTCCAGTCAGTAGGAAACAACAGTAATGCAGTTTATCTGTTGGTTAAAAAGTAGAAAAATATAAGTGATTTCTCTTTATGAAAAAACATGTGGATGATAGTGAGTCTTTCCTTCTGTGAGTCTTTGAGAGGAAGTTTAGATCACATGGATACGTCAGTATAAAGTCCTGTGTCCTCTTACACCCCAGGAAGCGATTCTGAAAGGAGCCGTAGAGCTGGGGAGAAACCCAGAGATGGTGGAGCCTCAGAGGAAACGTCCAGCTTGGTTAAAAAGTTTATCATGATGTTCCTTTCTTTTGGTTTGTTTTTATACCATAACTGTGACTATTTTCTGGAAACAGTCATAGTAGAAGGAGGAACAGTTACTGAAGTTACACTTTGCTTTTTTGTTCACCAAATGACTACAAAGAGTAACTAATAATAATCAAATTAGCAGAAATAACAATTGCAAATCAAATACTTGTGACTATATGTATCTAACTAAAGGGAATAAGACACTTTAAATTCTTAATGCATTATCAGCCTGTTCTGTGTTCATCCATCACTGTGTCGTTGGGCTCATCCAGAGAACAGGCAGGTCTGCAGGCTGGAACATCAGGGCTCACCTTCCCTCTGTTCAGGCCTCAGCTCAAGATAAGAGCAGTTAATGTCTCTACAGACTCCACACATCCTGTACACAAACCGCTTTGACTTCAACCTTCAGTTCGGCACTACAGAGTGCTGTTTGCTGAAACCAACTTCCAGAGAGACAGTTTCTCCCCTCAGGCTGTCTATCAGATGAACACTTAATAGTCAGATTCATCCCATGCAGATAAACTCAAATTCAACCTTGTCATTCATTTTTTGTGAATCATTTTATATAGGCGTAATTAAAGAAAAAGAAAATAAGAACATTTTAATTAAAAATGTTTTTTTTGGTTGTTTTGTGTTTTTTTATGTTTTTGTTAAGAAGTAAAGCAGAGATTAAGTCAAATTCCTTGTTTGTGAGCAGAAAATTGATGATTAAAGCTGGTTCAGATTATTATGTCTGAATTTTGGTGTGGTCAGTACTTTTTCTCATCAATGGAGCTCAGATAGACATATAAATACTGAGGAGAGGATCTGTCTATTCTGTGGTGTAGTTTAGGTTTCTTGTCCTTAGTTTCTGAATTTCCTGTTGTGCTCTTTGCTTCCTTTTTTCTTATTATTTGTGAATTTCCCAGTCTCCTCTTGGTTTTGGGTCTCATGTCTGTTTCTGTTCTTTTTATTAGTTTCTGGTCTCTGTGCTTAGTTCCTGTTCTGCCTTTCATTCTTCCGATTCTCTCTTTTCTCTGATTTCTTTCTCAGTTCCTTCCACTATGATAATTTTTCTTATCTGTATCAGTTATCCTGAGCTTGATTATACTTTGGTTCTGGAGTCACTGTTTGTTCATTTGATTGGTCAAATTCATTCAAAATCCATGAAATTTATCCTTGTTACTATATTTTGCTTCATGTTTCATGGTTTTGTTTCGTCCAGACTAATTTAACTACAACGGGCCTGGGCTCTCATGAATTGGGTTCCAGCAAATACTCCAGGATTGAATCTGTAACAATTAAACTCTTAACTCTTATCTGCTGTGTTACCAGAAATTAGTTCTACAATTTGAATTTATTCACTGAAAAAAAGTTAATTTTGCTATAACCTTGTCTTCTTCCTCTATTCTGTGTGTTTTGATTTTGATTCTTCTTTTATGCTCAATTAATTTATGATGCGTGGATGGGAGATTTGCTTGAAGTTTTTCACTTACTCCTCTTTCTGAAACGTCTCCCTACAGTCCTAAACTGACTTGATTTAAAGTGAAACAATTTTTTTTTAAGAAAACCAAATGCTTCCAGTGGTGCAAACCTTATGCCATTTTCCTGAATGATTATCAGGAATCCTGAAATATCTTTTTGTGATAAAACTTTCATTTTAGATACTTTCTAATGGAAAGTTAGAATGGGCTGTTTAAGGCAAAAAAGCTCTTCTACACCCAGTAAAAGAAAATAAATACTTTCAATGTGCAAGACTGATCAGAATGAGTATTTCCTCTGTCACATCCTTTAAAGGACCACAGCTCACAACAGTTTTTCAAAACATGACAAACTTTTACTTTGACAGTCAAAACTGACAGGCTACCATGTTTTTTTTTTTTCCAAGTGAAAGTGAAAGTAAAATTTGTTTTCTTATCCAACTAGCAACAGGGAACTTTGTGTTGGTGACCTTGGACTGATAGCTGAAATTGTAATCGGCTTTTGGTTTACTCTGTGAAACTGTTTCGATGAGTTAAAAAGAAAATCTTTATTAACAATTTGGTGTTTGGAAGTACAGGATGAGGAAGCTGTTAGCTGTGCTTCTGTTCCTCCTTTATGGTAAGCTTTTCTCCCTCATTCCTAGCTTAGATTTTAGCTGATCTTATTTTGCCTCTTCTTCACAGTAATTACCAGCTACATTTTCATGTTCAGAAACAAATACTTTATACTGTTCCAGATATAAGTAAGACCAAAGCTGCCATGACCGTGTGGGTATTTTGCAAAATAGTCTATAGAGCTTTATATTACCATATAATGTTATTCTCTCATCAAAAACATACCGTGAGTGTTACCTTGATTATTTAATAGATGTTTGAAAAATAGCATTTGGGGGTGCCTGAATGCTTGCTTTCTCCTATTCCACCTTTATATATATTGTGTTATTCATGTGTAGTAAGCTGCAGTGACACCATTTTCCCTTCATGTGCTGAAATTTTTGAACACTGATCCATTTCTGGATTTCAGTCAATCTCTGGACTTTGTCATTATTCCTGTATAACACTCCAAAAATGAAATGAAATGAAATGAAATGAAATGAAATTTTATTCGAACATGATACAAATACAAATATAAAAATAAAATAGAAAAAAATAAAATAAGTAGGAATTTAGAGAATTGTGAGGAAGTTGGGTTAATATGTGAATAATGATCAAAAGATAAATGTCTTAGGTTAAATTTGTATTTATTTCAACAAACTGACAGTATCTTTATTTATACTTCCAGCCTGTCGAGATTCTTTGACTGTAAAAGTGGAAGTCTGTAAAGGGGAACCATCAGTTGTTCTGCCCTGCCAGTACAGCCAGAAATTGGAAGAGATTGTTACGGTGAAATGGAGCAGCTTCGATCTCGATCCCAATACTGTCCATCAACGTCAAGAAGCCGACGACCTGCGAGGACAAAATGAGATTTTCAAAGGACGAACATCAATGGCGCCTCTTGCTCTGGACTCTGGTGATTTCAGCCTCACTCTGAGTGAACCTCAAGTTTCTGATAGCGGGGTCTACATCTGCTACATCATGAAACAGAAGAAATAATGGTGTCAGACGTTCAGCTGATTGTCACAGGTCAGTGACCTTGTGTATTTCTAAAGTATTGGGCCGTGACACCCAATTACCAGACACAGGTGTATAAACGCCAGCATTTAGTCATGCAGAATGCATCTACAAACATTAGTGATGGAATGGGTTGCTCTCTGAAGTTTAGTGAATTACTAAATCAGAACAATAAATGACTTTTTTGTATGGAAGTGAGGGTTGAAAAGTATATTTAAAGGCTTCTATTTTCCAAATACCATTTTAATCTGACAAATGGGCCTCATCAGAATGCAGATTGTAATTTATTCACCATGACTATGTGGGAATGTTCAGGGTTACGTTCTCATTTATTCCCATGTCTTTGGTGCAATTTAGGGTTTTTCCTAATTTTTTTTACTTGATGGAAAAAGGAAATTTTGGTAACACTTCATCTGACGGGGTTCGCATAATACTGACATGATACTGTCATAAATATGATGTGACACCTGTTTAGATTTTTAGAGCAACTTTGCATTAAAAGTGTCATTATTTACTGAATGACACTTGATGACAACAGTCATAAACATTTATAAAGACTCCTTCATGATCACGACAGATGTTACGTCATGTTTATGACAGTGTCATGTCAGTCTTATGCACGCCCCATCAGATGAAGTGTTACCAAAATATCCATAGTATATTAATTTAATGTGCAATAAATGATCTGATTTTGTTTGACCTTTCTGTATATGGATTATATCTCTTTTGTAAATTCCCTTGAAACATTTTTTTCAGTCAGCTCTAAGATAAGGTCTTAAAATTCAACTACTTGAACAAGCTGTTGTGTTCTAATTATATAGATTTTGACTAAATGTTATATATTTTGTTACTATTTAACAGTCATTTCAAGGTACTTGATGGAGACATGAAAAAATAGACTCCTTAAAATCAATACTTTTTCTCTCCGACATTAGGAAATAAATATTTTCAGAATGTCCAAAGACAATTATGTTCTACCTTTTAGAAGAAACTGAGACATGCTAAAATAATTTTGAAACCTATTAAAATTTTTAGACAATAATAAAACAACATACATTTCTAACTGTTCTTTGTTTTTTCCTAGTAATATTTCCACTTTGGGCCATAGTTCTCCTGGCTCTGCTGGCTGTGCTAGTTCTTCTTGCTGGAGGTGTTTTATTTAATTTCCGACAATATTTTATGTCAGGTAAGTTCCTTTTACAACAGTTTCAATACTAATATGTGGCATGCTAAGGCATTTCTGTCTCCTTAGACTGATGGTGATAATTTCAGGCAATGAACTGAGAACTGATACAGAAAGATTGAGATAGCTTCAGAGTTGTCATGGAGTCATAGTCATTATTTTTAAAATTATGGGTTAGATTTCCTCAGTTTTTCATTTTCTGTGGTCAGTTCCTGGATGTGGATTCAGTTTAGATCACATGGATCCTCTGTCAGCATCTGGTCACTAAATCCTGAGCTCCACTTTGTGACTGAGGTGTTTTTCTCCTGGATTATCACTGAGGCTCCATCACTGTGAACATCATCATCATCAGTTCTGCTGCTGTCAGTGCAGCTCATCTGTTTGTTTCTCAGTCTACAGGGTGGAGGTGGATTCAGGAGAGGAGTCTGTTCTGCTGCCATTTAAAACTGCAGTCTGTCTGCCTGGAAAATCCAAAGTAACATGGAGAACACATGATAGTAAAGTGGTACACATTAATTCTTTGAACTTCCAGCATCAACAACACAGACAGTTTAAAGACAGAACAGAGATGAAGAAGCCAGGCAAATCTAGAGATTTCAGTTTGATCCTGAAGAAACCAACAGACAAAGACACAGGAACCTACATCTGCACCGTCTGTGATTATTGGTCAGAAAACATCTCGACAAAGAAACAAGTTCTGCTCAATGTCAAAGGTCAGTGCAGTAACTATAAGGTACATTTTTATCCATGGTTATGTCTTTAATAAATCAGACAAAGTTGGTTTTTATTCTGAGTTTTTATTATGAAGGTTAGAATGCAGATACATGTTACAGAAATATAACCACAAGAAAGTGATATCCATCTTGAGAGTAATCATAAGAATAGAAGCACTGTTTCTTATAAACTATAAAACACAATATAGTTTTGTGTTATATAAAATTATTAATTAAAATTATTAATAATCAAACTTTAAACTTGAATCTTATAAAACAGTAACTTCTCTTTAATCATATTCTAACTTTCTCCTCTCCTCCATCCAGCTGGTCCTGACTCTCTCATCATATCCATAGACTTTGGTTCAGGATTCAGTGGCTACGCCTTCAATGTTAAACCCAGACAGGAAGGAGGAGAGACCCAGATAAAGAGATGGAGGAATGGACTTGGACTAGACACCCCAAAGACTCCAACCTGCATCCTGTTTGATGAACATGCAGAATTTATGAAGTTTGGTTATGAAGCTAAAACAGCATTTAATAATATGAGAGGAGAAGAAGCTGAGAAACATTATTTCTTTGAAAATGTCAACATGGCTGTCCATGGCAGGGTAAGTAAAAGTAAAGATTTGCAGATAAATCTTCTTTTTTGGATCCTATCATGTCCTCTGTTAACATGCCTGTCTATGATTTGAAACTGTGTCACTATTGGAAATATCTCATAATGTTTAAATCTGCATTCCACCTCAAGGCCAGACTGGGACACAGAGCTAATGGGGAATTTCCTGGTGGGCTGCTCCATTAGTGGGCTGGTGGTTTAGGCTATGAATGGGCTGTCGCAGTTGCCTCGTAGTCACACAGCACGCTGTTGTTTTGCAATGCCACAATGCCAAAACTGCCGTATTAAATCCCTTCTGTTCCTCTGCTCTGCTCTAGTCAGGCAAATTTTGTCATGTGGCCACGGAGTGGACCTATATCACAGGAACAAGTGCTGCAGAAATGGCTTGTTTCCAACAAAACATTTAAAAAACTGCTGGATTTTTTGTGCTTGGACTGTTTCTAAAAGTAGAGGTCTAAGTGAAAGTACAATAATGTGCAAAAAGAACATTTTCTATAATAGGTGCCTTTAATCCCTACTGTATTTGTGTCTGTGTTTTCTGTTCACTTGACTGGTTGTTTCTCTCTGTGTGTCATCATCTCTGATTCCGGTATTTCCTTGAAGATGGCTCTTATTTCTTCAGTTATTAAATATGATCTCTTCTTAGATGTTTCTGCCAATATCCTGTTACCACTTAAGTCATTCACCACCACAAATCTTGTCAGTACACCAGACTACCATAAGGATAAGTAACCAGAGTGGTTTGAATACTGCCATTGGGGGATCTCTCTCTCTCTTTCTCTCTCTCTCTCTTTCCTTTCTCTCTCTCAGTGTGGTGATGTTCATCCAGCCTGGGTTAAGGTAGATACTGTACAGTCATGGCCAAAAGTTTTGAGAATGATTCAAATGTTAATTTTTACAAAGTCTACTGCTTCAGTTTTTATAATGGCAATTTGCATAAACTCCAGAATGTTATAAAGAGTGATCAGCTTAACAGCAATTAATTGCAAAGTCAATATTTGCCTAGAAAATGAACTTTGTCCCCCAAAACACATTTCAACTTAATTGCAGCCCTGCCTTAAAAGGACTAGCTAACATCTTTCAGTGATTGCTCCATTAACACAGGTGTGGGTGTTGATGAGGACAGGGCTGGAGATCAATCTGTCATGATTAAGTAAGAATGACACCACTGGATACTTTAAAGAGGCTGATGCATGGCATCATTGTTTCTCTTCTGTGAACCATGGTTGTCTCTGAAGAAACACGTGCAGTCATCATTGTACTGCACAAAAATGGCCTACCAGGGAAGAGCAGCTAGAAAGATTGCACCTCAGTCAACAATCTATCGCATCAACAAGAACTTCAAGGAGAGAGGCTCCATTGTTGCCAAAAAGGCTCCAGGGTCCCCAAGAAAGACCAGCAAGCACCAGGACCGTCTCTTAAAAGTGTTTCAGCTGCGGGATCGGGCTACCAGCAGTGCAGAGCTTGCTCAGGAATGGCAGCAGGCAGGTGTGAGTGCATCTGCACGCACTGTGAGGCGGAGACTCTTGGAGCAAGGCCTGGTCTCAAGGAGGGCAGCAAAGAAGCCACTTCTCTCCAGGAAAAACATCAGGGACAGACTGATATTCTGCAAAAGGTACAGGGAGTGGACTGCTGAGGACTGGGGTAAAGTCATTTTCTCTGATGAATCCCCTTTCCGATTGTTTGGGACATCTGGAAAACAGCTTGTTCGGAGAAGACGAGGTGAGCGATACCACCAGTCTTGTCTCATGCCAACTGTAAAGCATCCTGAAACCATTCATGTGTGGGGTTGCTTCTCAGCCAAGGGAGTCGGCTCTCTCACAGTCTTGCCTAAAAACACAGCCATGAATAAAGAATGGTACCAGAATGTCCTCCGAGAGCAACTTCTCCCAACCGTCCAAGAGCAGTTTGGTGATGAACAATGCCTTTTCCAGCATGATGGAGCACCTTGCCATGAAGCAAAGGTGATAACTAACTGGCTCAGGGAACAAAACATAGAGATTTTGGGTCCATAGCCTGGAAACTCCCCAGATCTTAATCCCATTGAAAACTTGTGGTCAATCATAAGAGACGGGTGGACAAACAAAAACCTAGGAATTCTGACAAAATGCAAGCATTGATTGTGCAAGAATGGACTGCTATCAGTCAGGATTTGGTCCAGAAGTTGATTGAGAGCATGCCAGGGAGAACTGCAGAGGTCCTGAAGAAGAGGGGTCAACACTGCAAATATTGACTTGCTGCATTAACTCATTCTGTCAATAAAAGCTTTTGTTACTCATAATATGATTGCAATTGTATTTCTGTATGTGATGAAAACATCTGACATACACACATGAAAACCAGAGGGCAGCAGATCATGTGAAAATATAATATTTGTCATTCTCAAAACTTTTGGCCATGACTGTAGTTTGACTTTTCCTACACATCAGGAGCTCTGCAAAGCTATGTCAAAAACTAATGGTACTACTTTGTGACAAATTTTAATTAATCGAGTTTGATGGATTAAAATGGCACGCCCAAATCAAAATCGATGTTATCGCACACAAACATCTGTGTTGTGGATAGGTGTAGCACGGGATCACGTGGTGTTATTAGTGATTGTAGATCACCTGTTGCTCACTTGGTGACTTCAGTGAGTGGGTGATGGGGGAGGTCTACTTTTTGCTGACCGCTATGTTNTGAGCAACAAACATCCAACAAAGGTTGCCACTGGTGCAAACCCTGAAGAACAAGACAAGAAGCGGTAGGAGGATGATGGCGTGACATTTTTTTATCATAAATACTGAAACAGTTGGTAAAATAGTAACCCACTCAATTAAATCTACATGTTCCATTCATCAGACTACAAAATGGATAACACTACTGAAGCTGTAAAGCAGAATCTCAAATGGATAAACAATCACTCAAAATATCCCCATTTACTAAACACAAAGAAAGCAAAGCAATAATACTTACACCAGCACACACTCCTTTGTTCTTATTGATCCTACGACGGTTGAGCTGCACATGCGGTCGTGCACAAGCTTTGATCCAAGCAAGGCATCCCGTTTCAGATTTTGGAAATCTGTGAATTTTAGTTCCACAAATATGATCAGAATACCTCACATCGCCTGTACAGATACCCCACTGACAAAGAAGAACCATTCTTTTTCGAGTCCTGACGCAAAATCTTTCTGCCGGTCTGCTAGTCCACAATGTACATTAGCATGTGTTTACTACTGTGGCTTGTGTTTGTGAGACGGTCACGCACGTGGTAGCTGCGCTGTGACGTGAAATGGGCATTAGGGGCACAGGGTCCATGGACCTTACCACAGGATAAGGTCCATGGACCTTACCACAGGGGCACAGGGTCCATGGACCTTACCTCATGGTAAGGTCCATGGACCTTAGATCGGTGAAAGGCAGCATCCCTGGGTGTTCCTCTTTTTAACAGAAAATTTTCTGACACGACCATTAACAAGTACTCTAGAAGTTGGATTGGAATACAGTACTTCAAACCAGCTAATACAATTTTCATCAAAACCCATCTCCAATAAAACCTGCTTCAGGAACATCCAATCCACCTGATCGAATGCTTTCTTGGCATCTAGGCCGAGAAGCATTGATGGGTGTGGGTTTTGTTGGCCAATTGAAATTATATTTAGGGTACGTCTGATATTATTTATTCCGAGTCGGTTGGGTATAAAGCCTGTCTGATCGGGATTAATAAGTTTATTAATGATCTTTTGTAATCTTTTGGCCAAGATGGCAATTAAAATCTTGACGTCATTACGCAGCAAACTTATTGGTCTATAAGAGGCACATTGTGTGGGGTCTTTACCTTCTTTGTGTATTACCGAGATGATTGCTTCTGCCCATGTTTTAGGTGGATCTTTGGATCTTAAAGCATAATTAAACGCTCAGCCTGAAAGCATTTATAAAATTCTCCTGGGAACCCGTCTGCTCCAGGTGATTTATTATTTTTAAGCTTTCCTATAACAGATTTCAATTCTTCTTCGGTAATTGTCCCCACTAATGCTTTAGCCTCCTAATCGTCAAGTTTGTTAAGATTAATTTGTTGCAAAAATTGCAGAAATTACAAAGAACAAATTTGGTTCTTAATCAAATCCTAATGAGTCAAATTGAAAGTGTCATGGAGTCATCAGCCTCTTGACATTAACACTGACATGAAAAATAATATTGAAGAAATAAATATATCAATATATCTCTGCCCTGCGACAGAGTGGCGACCTGTCCAGGGTGTACCACGCCTCTCACCTGGAACGTTAGCTGGAGATAGGCACTAGCAACCCTCCCAACCCCAGTAAGGGACAAGGGTGTAAGAAGATGGATGGATGGATGGATGGATGGATGGATGAATAAATATATCAAATCTAATTAAAAACATAAATAAGTGATAAGTTATTTCCTGTTATGGTCTGTAAAATATATTTATTCTCAGTATTAGATGTGGTCTAATCAAACCCATGGCACTTCAAAAATATTATTTTACCTTTTATCTGGAAATAGTGTCTGTTTATTCTTGCCATACAGTCCTCTGTATTAATTATTGCTCGAAAGGTCTTGCCATACCAGTTTATTCCTCTGCATTTACTGTAGTTTCTTAGTTTATTCTTGCATTTTGTTCTTCATTCATTTCCATTTAGTTTCCTTTGATTATTATCCTCTCTTGGTTTATTGCTATGTCCACTTTAGTTTCTTTCCTGTTGCTAGATTTATCGTTTACCATCACTCACCATCTTCACTCATCACCTGCTGCGCCGCCTAATCGCATCATGTGTTGATTTTTTCACTGTTCAGCGTCGGATTCTCTGTTTTTATGCCATAATTCACATCTAGTTCGTCGCTCCGTTTTATGTCCCGCTTCTCCTGTTTCAGAGTTTTGCGCAATGTGCGCGTCGTTTTTTGTTTTTTTAACTCCCTATGGCGTATTGATGGGGAAAAGGCAGACTGACATAAACCTTTTAAAGCAACGGAAACAATTTCGGTATTCTGATTATTGAAATTTAAAAGTGCTGTGGTACCGTTGTTCTATCACACCCGTTTCATACCGGACCACTTACAGAACCGGTGTTAACACTACTCTCTATTGTGGGATCACCCATGGAGGGATTTCTTTATTTAAATGGGTTCATTTTTCTGAGGGATACACAGTGAGGGTATCGTGATTTTAGTAATTACATGTTTATAAGAGCGATTTTCTGTTGTCCTTCCATGGAAGCGGGCAGCTTTCAAACGGAAATAAAACACTTTTTAATATAAGTTGCTGCTTTGACATGATCACGGAACTGACAAAACATAATGTGGCACTCAGTGGTTTTGACCATACAATTAGTTTTGTTTATTGCCAACAACGCCACCTGGGGTTATCACCCAGGAATTAATGACAGGACACAGGTCCGGTTTTGCAATCAGCAGGAGACAGGTTTCAAGTCAATAATAATTTATTATCACAAAATAAAAATACCTGTACATAAAACAAGAAAATACACAAAATAAAGCTAACTATGCTTACCGGTGGGTACGACCAGGTCCTGGATGGGAGGCTCCAAAGCAAAGAAATCAAAACAAAAACCTGTGAAATCACTTACTCTCTGAAATGCCCTCCACCTATTTGTGTTAATCACTGCACAATCACACCAAAAAGGGACGCCACATCCAGGCCCGAACTACCACAGGCGGTCCTCTAAAGAAAATAAAAATAAACAAAATGTTAAGATACAGGCAATAAAAGATATATAAAAATATGAGTGTAAATAAAATAATAAAAGAGTCCTTGTGCTCGACAGGCACGGCAAAACGAGCAATCCAGCCCGAAACGGAGCGCGCAGCCGCTCCTTGTTCTGGTTTTCGGAGGGGGGGGGGCGTGTCCCACACACCGGTCCGCTCAGTAAGCGGTGACTCAGTGCGGGCAAAGCAGCAGCGTTAAGTGTGTGGCGCTCAGTTGCGAGTCCGATCAGGCCAAGCTCTCCTCACTTGCACCCAAAGGGGAACGCTCACAAATGTCGGCACTTATTGCAGGAACCACTCCACCCACGATCAACCGTGGAGGTAAATACGCAGGTCCGTTTCTGTACTCGGCACACAGACAGCTCAACACGGAGTGTCAACAGCAAACAACCAGTGTCAGTCTGCAGCTCACCTCTGCTTTTATACTGAGCGCCCCCTGGCGCCATTGGCCCACTTGTAATCACCCTACCAGCAGGTGCAGTCTCCACCTTCTTCCTGCCACAATATGTACAAAAATACCAGACAAAGTGAATCACAGCAACGTCATCAGCCGGTGTGACGCTGATTTGATGCGTGAAGCTACCAGTAGCAGGAGCGGAGCTGCGCCAAAAGCTA